TTTTTCTCAACATTAACATTTTTATTATGCCAACAGCGCTGTATTTACATGGACCAATTTGCTTGTGGTGGTTGTGGAGTTAGAAGGCTCAGAACAAGAAGCCTTGGACCTGGTTGCACTGGTAACAAACGTGGTTCTGGAGGAGCATTATCTGATAGTAGGTGTTGTAGTCATCGTGGACCCAGGAGTTATTCCTATCAATTCCCGTGGCGAAAAACAACGAATGCACTTGAGAGACGGATTTTTAGCTGACCAGTTGGATCCTATTTATGTTGCCTACAACATGTGAAAGAAAGGAAATGGCATCAAGGCTAAAGCACCAAAATGTAGATACTGTCTGAATAGCATTTGAATTGATATGTTATGTTTTTAAAACCGTTGAAGAACTTAGAAAAATGGAGATATTAATCTTCACAGACCTTCATCTCTCAGATTGTGTTTGCTTTCGTAAATCCATTATAACAGTTATTGCTGTATTAGAATTTACTGGAATTCTTGAAGGAAGCTTATTAGAACTGTCATGGACCAATTTTTTTGTTGGTTTTGGTTTTTTTTTTACAATAATTGTGAATGTCAGTACTTGATGCACTGCATAAAAGGACATAAGGCAGGGTGGGGAGCAAACACCAGCTGTGACTCTTGGAAATAATAGGGAAAGTTGTTAGTAACCAGTTTGAGTTACCCCTACATGTGATTGTTTGCAATATATTGGCAGTATCTGGGTTGGGGCATAACTTTTAAGACTGCACACATCTTTAACATTTTCTCTACTGTACTGAAAGGAATTTTGCACATATCTGAGGTTTAAAAATGCAGCCTTTGTATTTTACATCACTGACTCATCCTTATTCAGAACAAATTAATTCCAGTCTCGGATTCAATGTAACAATTATGCTGCTGCTCAGCTTTTTTGTACCAAGCAAAAACAAATACTGCATCTGTAACAAGGTTACTTAGTGTGCCATGCTGAACTCTGTAATGCTATAAACTTTATAATAAAATATTAAATTAATACTCAACTGTTTGATGCGGGAGCGTTCACTGCTCTTGCTCTCATAACTTCATGTTAAAGTTACCTGTTTTAATAGCTCTAGCTGTTAATTACTGCCCTGCATAACACCAAGTCTTTAAAAACTCATTCCAAAGCCAATAGTCTGAATCATTTGTAGAAATGTTTACAAAGCATGACCTTACAATGTGGTTTCCATTAATATCCTTTGCTGAAATGTACAATGGTGATTCTTTTTTCCACCGTGAAAAGAATACTCAGTGTTAGTTAGGTGGATCTTTTTGGTTACAATTCATCTTTTTAGTTGTATTTAGGCAGACGTTTTGCTCCAGCTGCAACAGCCAGGTGGCATAGACACACTTGGCTAAAAAAGGCTTTGAAGTTTCTGCCTGATCTAGTACTGCAGTGAACCTAACTCAGAAAGAGAATGTGAAATTATTCAAATACTTGCTGCATTTGAGGGTAAGAACGAGAGTAGCAAATAATTATTTTTATAAAGTTAATAAAGTTTGAGCTCCGTTAATTTTTTTTTTTTAATATAATGCGCGAGTTTGGCAAAAGAGCCAGGTTTTTCTGCAAGGCAATTCTGCCTGGATCAGTGCCTAAGAAAGATGGATGTTAGTCTCCTGATAAGAGAACATCTAATGAGTTGACGAATGAACAGTAAATCTCCAACGGAAAGCTTTCATATACAGTAGTTCTTTGCCCTCGTGATGTTTGACTGTGGTGTATAATACAGCTGCATATGATTACTGTAATTATGTACAGAACCTGTGTAACTTATTGTCTAAGTACAGCAACCTTTAGCAGTGAGCAATCCCTGTGACACAACAGCTGGCAAAGAGGAAGAACTACTTAACCCCAATTTTAATGTCGTAGTTTTTTAGCAGATAAAGCATTGTAAGATTTTTGTATTGATATGGTTGACAGTGAGACAAGTTGCCTTGTAAGATTTAAAACAAAAGCACATTAAACATTTCAAAACAGCTCTTGAACATCTGACTTTATGAATGTTGGCTGCTGGATCAAAAACTAATTTCTTTACAGTACACAGTGTTCACTTGTATTTTGAGCAGTTCAGTGCTTGAATGCCCTGGTGGTTACGGTACAGTGGGTAAGGCCAGGTAAATGTTCTGGTTGCAACATCTGTTGGAGGGAATAAACTGAAGTCAGATCGCTCTCTGAAATGCTGCCACTTTCTTCTGAAGTGTATTTTTCAGCTTGAGGGAGCAAAAATAGGCTTCCACATCCTTTAGAGCATCAGGAGGGAAGAGTACACTGCAGCCTCATTAATGGATTCTCATGTGAGCATGTACCGGTCTGTCTAGATGGTGTAGATGGTGTTCCTTCTGCTGGAGATCAGCTGCAACGCTCAGCTTGGTGTCATCAGCAAACTTTGTGAAGGTACACTCAATCCCACTTCTTTGTTGCTGTTAAAGAGCAGTGGTCCCAAGACCAATCCTGGGGGACACCAACTGTGACCAGCCTCTATGCAGACAGAGCTGTTGACAACAATTCTTTGGCTACAAACATCCAATTCTTTATCCACTGAATAGTCCAGCCTTCAAATCCTCCAATGTAGAGATAAGGCTGTGGTGTGGGACCACACAAAAGGCCTTGCACAAGTCCAGGTAGACAGCATCGGTTGCCTTTCCTTTGTCCACCGAAGCCATCACTCCATCATAGAAGGCCACCAGATGGTTCAGGCATGATCTGCCCTTGTTGAAGACACAATGGCTGTCTCTGATCACCTCTGCGTCTTGCATGTGTCTTAACATCTCTTCCAGGAATATCTTCCATGATCTTCCCAGATAAGACACAAAGGTGAGGCTCATCAACCTGTAGTTCCCTGGGTCTTCCTTTCCTGAGAATGGAAGTGATGTTTCTCTTTTTCCAGTCACTGGGAACTTCACCTAACAGCCATGATTTTTTTAATATGATGAAGAGCAACTTGCCAACCACATCAGGCAGTTCTTTCAGAACACTGGGACGCGTGTCATCTGTCCCAATTTGAATATTCCAGAGTGAAAAGTAATGGCATCATTTTGAATTAGGAAAATATAACTTAGTAGAACCATAATATAGCGCATATGCACCAAAGCTGCCCCTTGCTGTCACTTCTCTTGTGTTGAAAGTTTGAGTCTGTTAAATATTTCAGCCCCCTCCTGCTGTGTTTTCTCCTTCTGCTTCACTTTTAGTATTGCTGGCAAGTAGTTCATATTTCAAAAGGGTGCTTAACATGAAGAAACTATCTGTTGGTGCCCTTTCTGGTGGGAAATCCCTTTGTATCCTCTTCTGTAAGGTGTCAGAAACATCCTGTGTGCACAGCTAGTATCACACTGGGCTTTCATGCTCACGGTGCCTCCACATAGCTCCTTGTTAACAAACTACCCTTTCCACGGAGAGTCACTCCATCAGTGATGAATGTGGAGCTTTTGAGCCCTGCTGGGCTTGGTGCTATGCCAGATCAATCTAATCAGTGCTAGCTTCAAAAACTGCCAGTGAGGTAGTGCAACTGGACACACCTCAGGTATCCAGCAGGCTGGTCTGTTTACATTGGCAGGGATGGGGGCATAACAAAATAAAAATAAATGTGTTGGTCTGTCACATCAATTACCAGATGAATGACCTGTCACTGCCAGAGCTGTTTTTCTGCAGATCTGTTGCAGCCAGGTCTGGCACTTCTAAGTATCTCGCCTGGTCCGGATGGATGTTAGTGGATTGTGTGGATCCTTGGAGCCTCCTTCAGCCCTGCTGTGATGTCTGCCTTCTGCAGTTCTGACAACCCTCCCCATCAGCCACAAACCTGAGGCATCTTCTGTGCTGCATACAGTGGATGCAGGAGCAGAGCTGTGCAGACCGGGTGGTGCTGAGGCCCGTGCCTGTGCAGTCTGTTTCTTTGCTTCAGAAGAGCTCTGCGTTGCTCTGCAGGAGAGGTGTGCTGCACTGATAACTACCAGGGGACCTAACTTGAAGGAAGATAACGCCATTTTCCTCCTCTCTGACAAGAAGTACCAGTTTCTTCTTGTGCAAGGTGAGTCCCCTGTGCATTTCCAGCAGTGGTGGATCATTCTAACTGCCAGAAATGTGTGTGGAGACGTATAGTTTCACTCCTGCTCTTGCTCTCATTGTTGGCCAGGGGACAAGGCAGCCTGCTCTGGTGCTGCGCTGCAGTTCTCAGCTACCACAGTGCTGTACTGAGCCACTGAATGGACTGTCTTAGGGAAGGGCTCCTCATCCATATGCCACACTGGCAACCCTCACAAAAAGGTGGGTGCCAGAGCCTCACCTGCAAAGCCTTCTGCTGGAGCGTGAGACCCCTCTGATGAACTTGGGTTCAGGCTTAAGACAGGGTTGTGACTGTTAAAGCTGGTAAAGCTGCCCTCACCGTGGGATGCTCTAGGACAGTCAGTCCTCATTCATTGTCCCCTCATGTCCTCAGGTCCATCTGTACAAGTGGTGGACATGACTGAAAGTGAGCAGTACAAGGAAATGATGTCAGGCACGTAATGGAAGTAACTTGGATGCGCACTACCTTAGGATAGCAAAACCTTTTCAGTTCTTGATGGAGCACAAGATACTGTCTTTCTCGTATGCATGTCTCTGCTTGACCATCCTCTGCCACTGCTTGGGGAGGCAAATTAGAATAATAAGATGATCCCTGTCAAAAACTAGGTTATTTTGTTCACTGAATCATTACAAAGTAAAAACAACATAATCCACAGCCCTCTCTACTGTGAATTTGTAGTGGAGATGCTGCTGTGTTGTTCCTAGCCATGAATGCCCCACTCACAGTCATGCCTGATCCAGATGGCAAATGCAGACTGATAGAAGACAGGAGCTGAAAGAGAACCCTAGGCAAATGAACCTGCTGCCAGTGTGAACTGCAGTGGTGCTCCGAGGCTGTATTCCTCAACCTTTGACAACTCAGGGCAAGCACAAGGTGTACAAAGCCTGGGAATAAAAGGACGCATTTTTCACCAGAGCCCAATTAATGACCCAAAGACCAGACCAACATTTTATTCTCATTGTTTCCACACGCTCTGAAGGCTGCAGCTGATCACGTATGGATTTTCCCCTTCCTTCTGGCTGAGCCTGTAGAGCTTGCCAATGCATGCCTCAGGCCCAGCCCAGGAGCCTCCTATGCTTTCACTTCCAGTTCTGCAGACAGCTACAAGCAGGAGGATTCATAGACAGGAGAAAAGCCTGAGCTGTTACATGGTTATGCTTTGCCTTTCAAGCCAGGAGTGTCTCGAGCAGGCAAGGACTGCATGGGCTCTGCTAAGTCTCCAGGGTTAGTAGCACGCACAGGGCAGTCAGAGCCCACAAAGGTCACAGGAGTCTTTCAGTGTAGCCCAATGGGCTCAGAGCCAGGCTTCTCTAGCCAGCCTCTCTGCATCACTCCCTGCCTCAACCCTTGAATTTTCCTTCTCCCTTTGCCAGCAACCTTGGGTTGCAGCAGCCACCTGCTTCCAGCCCCCTGCCTGTCCCTTGCATGCAGCAGCAGGGAGTGAGCTTGCGATGAGGCATTCATACACACAGCATCCCAGGTGGGCACTGTCCAAGAGGCTTTCCCAAGATGCATGGGCATTTCAGCTCACAAAGCTGCAGAGTTTAATAAGCTGCTTAAGTAGCACAAGCTTAACTTCACGGAGCTCCCAAGTGCATCCAGTCTTTTCCCAAGAGGAGTGGTGCTGCTCTGCATCTCTCCAGCATGAGTGGGAGCTGCTCAACTGCTTCTCACCAGCTCACTCATGCTCAAAGAACTCATGGCAAGCAGAGGTAACCATGACGATGAAGGCCACAAACTCCTGAAAGTCACACTCTGCATCCCCATCACTGTCCAGTGCCTCCATGACTTTGTCCACAGTCTCTTGGTCTTTGATCTCCTGAAAGAACAGAAACAGGTGTAAGCAGCATCTGCTTAACAGCAGCCCTACCAGGGCACCTTGAGGCCCACAGAGTAAGGCTATCACCCTCCCAGGGAAGGAAATTTCCCTAGTGTACAACCCAAGCCTCCAGCCCTGACACAGGCTTTGTCCAGCCACCACCTGCTCCTGGGGAGCTGGAGCCTGAGCCCAGGTGTGCTATGTAGGAGGCAATACTCACACCAAGGAAATGGGTTAATTCATTGTTAATGAGCTCCTTCAGCTCCGATTTCTTCAGCTTATGCTTGTCTCCTTCCTTCCCAGAGTACTGGTGGAAAGCATCGATGATGGCGATCATGGCCTTCTCCAGCTCAGACATGGTCACAGCACAGTCCTGAGGTCACAGGGGGGCAATGGGCACATCAACAGGGTTAGGCTGCAGTGATGCCTTCTGCTTGGTGAGCACCAGTACCCTGGGGCACCCTCCCACCCAACAGCGGTGCAGACAAGCTCTGCTAGCAGCTCTCACTTTGGGAAAGATCCCAGGATCTGTGGTTCTAAGAGGCCTTGGCTCTGTGAGTGCTCCAGATGAGCTGCAGCACAAGGAGTGGTGGCAGTGGGACAGGTGCATTCCCTGGAACCGACAGGCATTGTGTGCAGAGCGTAGGACAGAAAACTGGAAGGAGACAGGTGGCAAAACCCTGGAGGCTTCCTGCATTTCCTATAAGTGCTGAGCTAGCTGACAAGTGGGGCAGGGTCATCTGCTAAGCTTGTGTTGCCAGTGCTTTTGGGAAACCTGCATAGCAGAAATGGGCTGTGGGAAGCACAGAGCACCAGTCTGTGCCTGGGATGGGGCTTGAGCTCTGGCTCAGAGCTGCCATGCAGCTCCAGGCCGTGGAACTGCTACTCCTCCCCCAAGTCTCACTGTAGTTGAGCTGCATCTCAGCCCTGCTGCCTGGCACTCCCTATGGGAAAGAAATCCACTTTTGGATGACCCAAACCCTCAAGCCCCACTAATCAAAACGCAGCAGGAACTGGACTATCCTTGTGCTATGTTCTCAGCTGATGAAACACGCACTTAATCATGAATGTTGTCACCTCACCTATTCTTTTTTTTTCCTACTGCTCAATCCACTGCTCTACCTATTGGGATAGGAACAGGTGAGGGTGGGGGTGGAGGGAGGCACTTCAGAAAGGCTTTGCTTTCCCTTCCATTTCAGGTGCCCTTGCCTCTGTCTTTCTTGCCTGCAGGCCCATTTCCAAATGAATAGTCAGGGGGAAGTGAGCAGGATTCGATTTTGATAGGTGCCAATAGGAGAAAACAAGGGCAACTCCTCTGCCTTTCTTCCTCACGCATACGACCTGGAGACCAGTTCAGGACTACCAGTAACCGCAGCTTTTCCTGGAGATCTCACAAAAAGCCAGACCAAATACAACCTGACAGGGACGGATACAAGTGCATCTCCCCAGAAGCTGCTGAATGCACTGACGCTGGGGTTAAAAAACCCAACAGTTTGGTGGCCGGTCCTCGCTTAATTCATTCCGCGCGGGTAAATATCTGCCACGTCATCTCAGCTCTCCACCGGCCTCTGCAGTGAGTAAAGAGCTCAGCTCCGGAGCAGCCCCGCCCGCCCGTCGCCGGTTCCCCGTCCCCCATCCCCGAGCCCTCTCCCCTCTCACCTCCCTTGGCGATGCCCAGCGCTGCGGCTGCAGCCCTGCGGCAGACGGCCTTCTTATGCCTGTGGGCGTGGAGCCTCACCCGTGCCGCAGCGCCCGGCGCCAATGGCAAAGGGAGGCCGGGGCGTCCGGCAACGGGCTGAGCGGTGCGCAGCGGCACACAGACCTGCACTGACCCGCTGCCGACCCACGGCGGCCGTGGGAGCCGCTGCAGAGAAAGCCGCCGTTGGGGGGAACCAAACCCCGGGCGTTCAGCAGCGCGGTGCCGGAGCGTGGCCGTGCCGCAGTTCCGCCCGCACGGAGGCATTGAGCAGCAAGCAGCGGCGCTGCACGGCGATCCCACCCGTGGGCCGAGGGCTCCGCAGAGCCCGGGGGCCGCGCGGCCGCTCCGTTCCGTGCGCGTAACCGAGGGGACGGCGCCCGTCGCGGGCCGTGCCCTCGCGGAGCGGCTGCCCGTGTGCCGGGGCAGCCCCCGTAACGCCGACGCTCCGTCCGTCTCCTCGCGCCCGGACGAGCAGCGGCAGTGCCCTGCGGTGCGCACGGCCGGCACGGCGCGGAGACCCTTCGCCACACACAAAGACCACAGAGCCACCGAGAGGACTTTTTTATTGCCGACCTCAACCCGAGCCCGAGCTGCTGTTTCCGGCAGAGGTGCTGCCACATGTGGCGGGTGGGAGACCCCGGCGGCAGCGCGGCTACCGGGTAGCCGAGGGACGAAGACGGACCCGTGCCATGGACGGCTGCCGACGGGGCTCAGCGCCTAGTGGGGGTGGCCGTGCGGGTGGCCGTGCGGGCCCGGCGGAGGCGGATGGGGGCCCGGCAGGTGCAGATGGGGGCGCGGCAGGTGGGGGCCGGGTGGGTGATGATGCCCTGGAGGACCGTGCGGTGGACCTCCGTGCCCGGGCCCTCCGTGCGGCGGCGGCGGCCCTCCGTGCGGCCCTGCAGGAAGAGGTGCGCGTCAGGGCTGCGGAACGGCCACGCGGCTCTGCTGGAGCTGTAGTGCCCCGGCTGCCGGGGGAGGCTCCTGGCCCCCGGCACGACCGGGCTTGCGGCTTGCGGGCGGCGGCAGGGGACGTGGGCAGGGAGCGGCCTGGCAGCGCAGGCACCCCCAGGGCTGCCCAAGCCCTACCCACGGGCACTTACCTGGGTGTGGGGCTGACATCTCACAGCAGAGACCTGCAAGGGAAGCAGGGACCGCGCTGTCAGTGCTGCCCGCCGTGCACGGCCCTCGTGCCTGGCATCCCCGTGGCCCCAGGCCTCCAGCCCAGCCGTGGCCCCGTGTGCCCGGGTACGAGGAGTGCCACCCACACGTGTCCCACACGCGTCCCCACGGACATCCCGACCCATCTGGGCACCCCGGGAGCAGCCACCCTCACCTCTGCGCTCTCGGCACAGCTCAGGCTCGTGCTTTCCCTCGCTGATGCCGAGAACCCAACCCTTGCCTAACGCACCCCCTCCGGGCGGCGAGGAACAGCCGAGCCCAGCGCCCAGCCCACGTCCTCGGGGCCGCGCGGCTCCAGGACTCCGTGCCCCGCCACAGCCCACCCTGCTGCCCCGCTGGCCTCTGCCGCTCAACACCTACAGAACCGACAGCACAGCAAACCCAGCGTCGTCCTCACGCAGCACACAGGCTGTCGAGGCCGGCCTCGGGCACCGCTTATATGTAGGGCCCTGCCGTGCCACGGGCGGCGCCGGCCCATAAACACGGCGATGGTTTTATGGGTGCCATCACCATGGGGACGCCCAACAGACAGCCGGCGCACCCAGCGCAGCGCACAAAGGTCTGCAGCCCTCGCCGGGCGCGGTGGGGATGGGTGGTGGCTCCTCCGCCGGCACCGCCTGATCCCTGGGGTCAGGGTGAGGGTGGGTCAGACGCAGCGCATCCGGCAGGAAAAGGGGCCACGGACAGGTTCCTTCACACCCACTGTGCAAACCTTTGGTGGATGCAGCTGTGTGGCCGGGGATGCTCTACTGGCTTTTGTCATCTGATGCATGGGGTGCATGGCTGCTTGGTGCCTTCTACTTTGGATCTGGCAACAGTTTCCTCCTGTTGACTTTCAGGGCGATACAGGTTCCTTTGTGCTGCGTGGTGACACTTGAACAAATCAGATGGGGCAAAGTTTAGGCCAAAATGCCCAGCCCACACTCCTGGCCATAAATTCTCGTGGTTGACATCCAGCACTGATGTGTTGGATGGAGGCATGGGTAGTGAGAAGGGCCAGGGCCATTGGGTTGTAAAAGATGGTCCCAGCGTGACACTGCCTTGCATCACAAGCTGGAAACATGCCTGTTAGTTAGCAGGGTTAGTCATGGGCACCTTCATCCTTGGCCCTGTCCCACCTCTGCAGGCAGCTTCCGGTGACTGCCTTGCTCCTTGTGCACCTTCATCCTTGTACATGGTCCTTGGCCAGCATGCAACAGCCTCCACCCATCACTCCCCCCACAGGAGTCCTCTCCAGCCCCACCTTTGAATAGTCCTTGAATAGTCCTTGAGGCCTGTGCAGAGGTGTCAGGCTGTGCTAGGCTGGGAGCTGGTGCTCACCCATGTCAGTGACATGCAAAGTGCTGCCAATTCTTTCATTTTGAAATTCATGGCCCTGATCTTTTAAGGGAGACTGTGACCTCAGGACACTTTTCCTCGGGTCACTGATTTCTCACCAGAGCTTTGGACTGATATTTTTGGAGAAACAGAGGGTTTTACATAGCCCAAAGCTGAGCACAATGCTCCAAGCCTCTGCTTTTCTCTCTCCCTAGTTAAACACAATGTGAGGTCTTCATAGCGGGCCCAGGGAGAAAAGGCAGTGTGTGTCTCTGGTGTGCTTGGCACCAGGCTCTGCCAGACCACGAGACAAAGGCTGGTGGTCATTGAACTGGGAGAAAAAAACTCATGAGGGCAGAGGAATGTGTGTAGGAGGGGGAAGAAAATGCTTCTGCCTCTGCAGGGCTGCTCACTGAGAACACGGTTCTGCAGGCTCCATACCTCTGTGTGCCACTGTGTGTCTTTGAGCCCAGGAGAGATGAGATGGGATCGTGGCAGGCAGCCTGAAACCACCTCCAGAATCAGGAAGTACCAGCAAACACTGGGAGTGAGGCTGATGCCCATAGAAGTCAGTGCAGGAAGAAGATGGAGTGGGCTCAATTCAGCACCCTGCACATAGGTTGGTGGGGCCAGGGGGTCCCCCAGCCCCTGCTTATGCTGTATGTTCTCCCAGCACAACTGTGCACCCGGTGGCAGAGGAAACACTCTGGATCCACTCCTTGTCCGCCAAGTATCACTCCATTGCAATTTACACGACCTTCTCAGAAAACACTGAGCCATTCCTCTGGAGCTGAAAACTTTGTGATGCTGTTATCTCACCTGAAACACAGCCTTGGATTAGGTCATCTCCTGGCTGAACTCAGCTAAACCACTAAGCACTATCCTAAATTGGCACAGCACAGCAATGGGCAGTGTCCCTCCTGCCCTGGCACAGATTGCCCTGTAGGGTTGCAGGGTGCCCAAAGGGAAGGAATAGCTGCAGCTTGTGATGTCTCTGGCAGGCAGGGCACTCACAAACAGGGAGTGAGCATTACTCCATTAGGGAGCAGAGCATTGCTCCATTAATTTTGGGCTAATCCTCAGAAAACTTGTATAAAGCAATGCCCAAGCTGCATAATGAAGACAATGTGCAAGCAGATTGATTATATAGACATATGTAATATTATATATATAGATACATAATTATATAGATATATATAATACAAAGACAATAAACTCAAACGGATCACCCTTCATCACTGTCTTCTGGCAAAGAGTGCTGTGAAGACTTTGACAGCCATGTGGTAGCAGAGATCCCTGTGAAAAGCTCCTCTCAGGCAGATCATTATGGTTTCCTCGTTTGTTTCCCCAAACCAAAATAAATCAAGGCTATAGCACCCCAAATGCAGCACTCCTATGTGTGCGTCAACCAACACCATCCACTTAAGCTGCACAGAAGCAGCATCACAGCTCTCCCTAGTGAGAATGGGTGGTATGGAACTGGCGGTGCTCCAGGCACAGATTGCCCACATGCCCACTGAATACTGCCCTGTGCAAGCACAGGAGATCCATGTATGTATGTGTAACCATATTAGCTTCTACCTACATAAATGATATGAATACATAGCAGGGAGGTGGGACTTATGTACTGGGCAAACATGCAGTGAAAACATTCAGATTGCAAGTACAAATTAAAGACTTGGGTGAACTCGATCTCACCCACCTTGAGCCCTGCACAAAAATAAAGCAATGTCTCCCATGTAAGCATTTCTCTTTTCAATGTTTTGGGAGATTTTGAAATACACATCAATGCTAGGAGCATATTTTGTAATGCCATGGCCCAGACCACTCCCTCACTACCCATGGCTGTAGGCACTGCTTTGCCACACGCTGCACAGCCTGTGTCCCTGCATCCAGTTGTTAATATCAGTGCTGGATGTTAACCACGAGAATTTACGGCCAGGAGTGTGGGCTGGGCTTTTTGGCCTGAACTTTGCCCCATCTGATTTGTTCAAGTGTCACCGCGCAGCACAAAGGAACCTGGATCACCCTGAAAGTCAACAGAGGAAACTTTATTGCCAAATCCAAAGTAGAAGGCACCAAGCAGCCACGCACCCCCTGCATCAGATGACGAAAACCACCCATTCCCACCGCGCCCGGCGAGGGCTGCAGACCTTTGTGCGCTGCTCTGGGTGCGCCGGCTGTCTGTTGGGCGTCCCCATGGTGATGGCACCCATAAAACCATCGCCGTGTTTATGGGCCGGCGCCGCCCGTGGTGGTGGTTTTAAGCGGTGCCCCGAGGTCGGCCCCGACAGCCTGTGTGCTGCGTGAGGACGACGCTGGGTTCGCGGTGCTGTCGATTCTGTACGTGTTGAGCGGCAGAGGCCAGCGGGGCAGCAGGGTGGGCTGTGGCGGGGCACGGAGTCCTGGAGCCGCGCGGCCCCGAGGACGTGGGCTGGGCGCGGGGCTCGGCTGTTCCTCGCCGCCCGGAGGGGGTGCGTTAGGCAAGGGTTGGGTTCTCGGCATCAGCGAGGGAAAGCACGAGCCTGAGCTGTGCCGGGAGCGCAGAGGTGAGGGTGGCTGCTCCCGGGGTGCCCAGATGGGTCGGGATGTCCGTGGGGACGCGTGTGGGACACGTGTGGGTGGCACTCCTCGTACCCGGGCACACGGGGCCACGGCTGGGCTGGAGGCCTGGGGCCACGGGGATGCCAGGCACGAGGGCCGTGCACGGCGGGCAGCACTAACAGCGTGGTCCCTGCTTCCCTTGCAGCTCGGGGCCGTGCGATGTCATCCCCACACCCAGGTAAGTGCCCGTGGGTAGGGCTTGGGCAGCCCTGGGGGTGCCTGCGCTGCCAGGCCGCTCCCTGCCCACGTCCCCTGCCGCCGCCCGCAAGCCCGGTCGTGCCGGGGGCCAGGAGCCTCCCCCGGCAGCCGGGGCATTACAGCTCCAGCAGAGCCGCGTGGCCGTTCCGCAGCCCTGACGCGCACCTCTTCCTGCAGGGCCGCACGGAGGGCCGCAGCCGCACGGAGGGCCCGGAAAGTCGCCAGGGCATAATAACCCACCCGGCCATGACCGAGGCGGCCCCCACCCGAAGGGCTCCCATACGTCTCCGAAGGGCCCCAATCCGTCTCCGCCGGGCCCGCACGGCCACCCCCACTAGGCGCTGAGCCCCGTCGGCAGCCGTCCATGGCACGGGTCCGTCTTCGTCCCTCGGCTACCCGGTAGCCGCGCTGCCGCCGGGGTCTCCCACCCGCCACGTGTGGCAGCACCTCTGCCGGAAACAGCAGCTCGGGCTCGGGTTGAGGTCGGCAATAAAAAAGTCCTCTCGGTGGCTCTGTGGTCTTTGTGTGTGGCGAAGGGTCTCCGCGCCGTGCCGGCCGTGCGCACCGCAGGGCACTGCCGCTGCTCGTTCGGGCGCGAGGAGACGGACGGAGCGTCGGCGTTACGGGGGCTGCCCCGGCACACGGGCAGCCGCTCCGCGAGGGCACGGCCCGCGACGGGCGCCGTCCCCTCGGTTACGCGCACGGAACGGAGCGGCCGCGCGGCCCCCGGGCTCTGCGGAGCCCTCGGCCCACGGGTGGGATCGCCGTGCAGCGCCGCTGCTTGCTGCTCAATGCCTCCGTGCGGGCGGAACTGCGGCACGGCCACGCACCGGCACCGCGCTGCTGAACGCCCGGGGTTTGGTTCCCCCCAACGGCGGCTTTCTCTGCAGCGGCTGTTAAGTCCGGGTTACGGCGCCGGGGGCAGGGAGAGACTCGAGGACGCGACTCTGCGGTCACCGCCCCCATGCGGGGCTCCGCGGAGCTGCAGTAGGGCGGGTCCGTGGATGGACACCGTTCGGATCCCCCTCCGCAGCCGCACCGAACCGCGCGCCTGCACCACCTTCGCCCTGGAGAGGCTGCGCCCCGCCCCTGCGCGTTGCAGGCGGCACTCCGCTCCACCCGCGGTGCGGTCCGGGGCGGGGATAGGGGCGGGCTCGGGGCGGGTTATGGGCGGGCTCGCGGCGGTGCCACGGGCCCATTGGCGGCCTTCCGTGAGGCCATCTCGGCTCAGGATAGCGCGGTCTCGGCCCCATCCCGGTCCCGTTCTTGACAGCACCGGTGGCGATGGCAGCGGACGGGTGAGTGTTCATCATCCCCGTGCCCACCATCCCTGTCCCCGTGCCCACCATCCCTATCCCTTTGCCCATCATCCCCATCTCCCTGTCCATCACCCCCATCCTCATAATCCCCATCCCCGTGCTCATAGGGTGGTGCGGCGGCGCGGCGGTCCGTGGCGCACGGAGGCAGCCACGGCGCTACCCTCCTGGCGGCTGCGCTGCGAGGGCGGCCGGCAGCGCTGGTGCTACCTGGATGACGGCGGCGAGGACGAGGCGGCGAGCGAAGGGCGGCGGGCGCAGACGGCGCTGGAGGCGCACAGCCTTGGCCTGGACACGGTGCGGGGCCGCGGGGCGGAGGGCGCGGGGCGCGGCGCGGGGCTCCCGACTGAGCTACGGCACGATCTCCCCCGCAGGACGAGCTGCTGCGGACGCTGCCGGCCGCCGGCACGGCTCGGGAGGCCGCCCGCAACGGCATGCGATTCTACGCCACGCTGCAAGCCGAGGACGGTCACTGGGCCGGCGATTACGGGGGGCCGCTTTTCCTGCTGCCAGGTGGGTTCTGCCGCGCTTCCGGCCGCGCCGCGCTCGGCTCAGTGTGACCGTCGCTCCTGTGCTCGCAGGGCTGCTGATCGTCTGCCACATCGCCCGCATCCCGCTGCCCGACGGCTTCCGCAGGGAGATGGTGCGCTACCTGCGCTCCGTGCAGCTCCCAGACGGCGGCTGGGGTCTGTGAGTAGCGGGGGGGTTATCCGGGATGGCGGCACTCGGGTCTCTCTCGCGGCCGTTCTGCTTCAGCCCCGTGCATCGGCCGTGTCTGACGCTGTGCTGCGTGTGGGTGTGTGTGTGTGTGGCAGGCACGTGGAAGACAAATCGACGGTGTTTGGCACAGCTCTCAACTACGTAGCCCTGAGGATCCTGGGGCTTGGCCCGGATGACCCCGACATCGTGAGGGCCCGCATCAACCTGCACAGCAAAGGTCAGCGCGGCTGTGCCCAGCTGCTCGGGCAGTGGGTGGCAGAGGAGCTGTTTGCCCTGAGTGGTATCGACATCTTCACCCAGCGATGGGGAATGATGCTTTGTTTTCTGCTGCCTGCCTTTTTTTGGAGGCATGTGTCTGTGCAGCATGCTCCTGAACGCGGGGAGAGACAAACGCTGGGATGTGGGGGAAAGAAGGGAGCGGGCACAGCTGCATCACTGAAAGCCCTGATCTGTCTCTGCAGGAGGTGCTGTGGGGATCCCATCTTGGGGGAAGTTTTGGCTGGCTATCCTCAACGTCTACAGCTGGGAGGGGATGAACACGCTGCTCCCGGAGATGTGGTACATGCTGTGGGTGCAGGGATGTCATCAATCCTGCCACTGGTCTCAGCCCATAGCTGTCCAAGCTGTGCTGGGCCCAGAGCAGGCTCTGTTCAGGCTGCCTGGCTGCTGGGAGCAACCGATGGGCATGCAGCACCAAATGCTGCACCAGGGAGATATGCAAGAGCTCAGCCCTGTTGGTTTTATCCACAGGTCCTTTGCTCTTGTGACCAAGGAGAACTGAGCCTAACAGCACAGAGCTTACTGTGTATAAGGCTGCCAGCTGTAACCTTCTGTGGTTGCTCAGAGGGCCCTTAGTGGTCATTGGGTGTCAGAAAGGAAAAGCGTATGTAATTTTCTATGGGAAGGTCAGGGGCTTCACAGTACCAAGGACTGCTGGAGCTTTGTCATGGGATGCGTTCAGCTGTCATTCTGCAACTCCACCTTCAAAGTAATGTGGAGAAGAGAGGGGCCCTTGAACTGGCTCTCCCTCCTCTCTGAACCTGGGGTGCTCTCTGCCTGAACTGGGCCAGGAGCAGTATCTGCTGGTGCTAGCATGAAGGGCTCACCCATGAAGAGTGGGAGCAGAGCCAATCTGTGTGGGTGTTCTCGTATTTTCTGCAGCTGTACCAGCAGCAGAAAGCCTGTCACGGGGGCCCCTCGCATCCTGCTAGCACAGCACCTCTGTGTGTCTCCCTTGGCCCTTCCTGTTGCTCACAGGAGCGCCCTCTCCATTGCAAATAGGCTGCTTCCTACGTGGTTCCCAGCCCATCCATCCAGGCTCTGGTGCCACTGCCGCCAGGTCTACCTCCCCATGAGCTACTGTTATGCCAAGCGTCTGTCAGCAGAAGAGGATGAACTCATCCGGAGCTTGCAGCAGGTGAGGAGCTGGCCCTGCAGGGGCTCCCCAGAGAGAACACTTGGCTCCTTGGCTGCTTGCTGTGCCTGCCGTGTCGCTGGGGCCAGCCTCTGGCACATGAAGCAGCATCTCTCATGCCTGCATGGACAAAGCAGTCTGGGCAGAGGACCTCATGCAGCAAGCTGTCTCTGGGTATTTGTTCCCAGCTTGCCAGGCTGATCACCTGTATTGTCTTTTGCCAGGAGCTGTATGTGCAAGACTACGCCAGCATCGACTGGCCAGCCCAGAGGAACAACGTGGCTTCCTGTGATGTATACACCCCACATAGCTGGCTACTGGGAATCGCCTATGGTGAGCGTGATGCTGGATGAGATAGAAGGGCCCTTGACATGGGACCACCATTTAGTGGGCTGGTGGTGGAACTGAAGCTGTCCTGTACCGTGAGGGCCCTTCAAGGTCTGCTGTTAGCTACTGGCAGTGCCTTGGAGCTGGAAAGGAAGGGCTGTGTGATCCTTGGGCCTTGAGTTTCATTACAGCAGCAGGGCCTTGTGCCCTAGTCTTCAAGCCATCATGAAGCACAGCAGTTCCCATTCTTTCCGTGTTTGGTCATCATGTGAGCGGTTGTGCAGCCAGCCACAGCAATTGGAGGCAGCCACATGGTGTGAATATTTCACCGCGTGTCACTTTATGTTCCAGCTGTCATGAATGTGTACGAAGCCCACCATAGCACCTACCTGCGGCAGCGAGCCATCACAGAGCTGTATGACCACATCAAAGCTGATGACAGATTCACCAAGTGTATCAGCATTGGTCCGGTAGGCCACTTGATACTGATCCTGTCAAATTCCTGCCCTTGGCTCTAGCCAAGAACTAGCGCGGGGTTCTACAGCCCTTTGCAGCTGTGGTGTGTAACCATAACCTCTGTCTTGTGCTCAGACACAACTCCTGCTGTTCATAATGCTGAAGACTTTAGTGCTAACAGGACACAGGAAAGGCAGAAAGTGTGGGAACAGCTGTAGTCCTAGTAAGGGGTACCTCTCCTTGTGGTTCAGGGACACGATGTGAAGATAATCCCTGAAGTAACGTTGTGGCACTTGCTGAGCTGTCTCAGCTATACTTAGAGCGATGCCATAGATGGAGTTGTCAGAGTGAAGCCCAGGACCTCTAGATGGATGTGTGCTGGGTGATAGCGGTGCATGTGTCTGGGGCTGGAAAGTGCTACACCTAGAGCAATGACAGTGATGCTCTCGGCAGATTTCCAAGACCATCAACATGTTGGTTCGCTGGTTTGTGGATGGGGAGAATTCACCAGCTTTTCAGGAGCATGTTTCCAGGATCCCCGACTATCTCTGGTAACGATGTGTGTGACCCACCTCTCATGGCACGGGGTTCTGATCCCTGTGATGTTGGCACGCCATAGCTCCCAGCCCCCTTCCTGCTGCTCTTGCTATGCCTGCGCTGCAGCGCTGTGTTTTCTCTTCCCACAGGCTGGGCCTCGATGGCATGAAGATGCAGGTGAGATGCTGTTGGATGCCAGAGAGGCCAAGAGAGATCCTGGCTTGCTGAAGCTGCCTCTGGGATGGGATAGCTCATTTTCAGTGTCTGTCGGCCTTGTCTGCCTGGCAGTGCCGGGAGTGCATTGTGTGTGTTTCACTTGTTTGCCTTTCTGGCCATTGGCTGGGGGGGCAGCTGTAGGTCTCTATCCCCTTTATTCCTGTGAGTCCTGGGAGAAGGGAAGGAGAAAGATGGTCCGCTGCCTGCCCTACTGCTCAGAGGCTCTGATAGTGCATGCAGACTGAGCTAATCTTGTGGCTGTTGCGTCCCTTTGCTCATAAATGTTGATCTCTCCTGTTCTTTCTGTGCACACAGCAGGCTAAGGCAGCTTTCTCATTTCCTGTCCCTCTGCTTTTTGTGAGCTTCTGCATTCCACCCCTCAGTGCCAGCACAGCAGCTGTGGTGCTAAGTGACATAAAACCAAGATGCAGGATGGAGGGAACAGAGGGGCTAATGCAGGAGGAGTACGCTGTCCTGGAGTCCCCACAGGTGTCAGTGGCAACTTGACCTTCACCATTCACTG